TTTTTGTTAACGTAGGATGTGAACCTGAATTTCTCAATTTAATATGAAATATATCAGTGTTTCATTACAACCCTCTCTTTGTACTATATTTTTTTGCCGTAACCTTTCCAAAAAGAGAACCTTTTCATACGTGCCAATCAAGCGCCACTCGCGACCACCTGACAAAACGATAAGTAACGAATACCGGTATCTTGAACCTGATCGTAACGTAAAATTGGTGGAGTAATCACTCCGATTCTCCAACTTTAAAATATATGAGACGAGAAGAAACTAATAATAATCTCTTTTTTTCCTATTTAATCACTTCAACCAATACAAAATAAATAACCGAAACTTGAAATTCTTCACTCCGACCTACGTAAAACGTGATATTTATATCAACTAATTCGGGAAGAGGTACGGCTGCTGTAACTTCTAACTAAAAATCCCAACCCCATTTGAAAAACCGTCTCCTCCCTCAAGCATCTTTGACTTGTTCGTAGCAATGAAATGAAAATTTCATAGTAGCAATCACGGAAGATTTACTTTGGTTGTAATTAAAGGCTGTCCTGTTGGTACGCTCCTAGTAGAACATCTGAAATTTGTGCATGTATAGGTATAGTTCCTTTCACCGAGATTAATCCGCGAGCATAATTCACTGATCCAAACGACTTCGGCGGTCAGAAGATTGCGTGGGGCGGCGATTCCGTAGCGACAAGATGGCTAAACTGTGAAGTCCACGTAGTGAAGAATGTAAGTTCAGTAGTTGACTCTACGTGACCGTGATGGGGTTTATTACCTTCAAGATATTGAAGCTAGTCTTCATGCCTAGTTGATCCTTGAGATTTTGTAATTTCTGAGGAGTGACTATCACGCCCTACCTTTAAAAAGTGTATTTCACCGTTCTTGAAATTCTGTAACAGACGCGTGTTTAGCCAGGCAGTCTCTGTTCTAGTCGTGTGCACGAATAGTGAAAATTAAACGTTTTCATGTGGCATCATGGTTACAGTTTTACCTTAACTCGCTTAGATTATTACTATGTAAAATTATGCAGTCCAGGTCACAAAGCACGCGGATTGTGAGTTTAACTTCAGTTTTGCAGGGTAATGAATGCCCGGGTTGCCATCAAGTCTTCCATGGTGACTGCGGGAGCTTCAAAGCCTTACTTACTGGACAGAGGCCGTGCTATTAAGACACTCACGTACACCGTAGCGGCCTAATTCTCGTGGGATTCGCGAATTCAGCTTGAAACGCCGTCAGTGACAGGCTCACGTACTTATGAACTCTTTACTATAAATTTAATTATATAGTCCAGCCCAAAGTGATATTACCATAGGCTTCATGTTCTACAATAACCATTCCAATAGTCCGTCTAACCAACAATAAGCGTCTAAGCGGACTATATAAATTAACAAAAAGCGTGGTCATTAAAAATCATTCCATGTGAGAGAAGTGTGAATAAACCACGTATTGGGTCGGCGGTCAATAAAAGAGAATATAACCTAAGAGATATACTTCATTTGTGGCAATAACGTTGAACATCAAGTTGTCTTAAACTCATAAGAGAATATAATATAATTGAAAACGAAGGCAGCTGAGCCCATTAAGATTACTTCACGTCTTGCGTATACACTCATCTTCAACATAATCCTTCTCAACATGATACGTATTTATAAGCATTTAGAGGAAAAATTAATTCTTACGCGTAGGTACACCTTAATTTTGGCACAACCAAAACTTGCGTACGCAAATCTTATCTGAAAAGCTATTATCAGAACCATCAGGCTAACTGATCAATCAGAGGCTTTGAATTTGCTGGTGCATAGCACCTGTCGACTCATTGCGCCACGTGCGTGGAGGAAACGAGGGTGTGTTGCGTCAACGGCATCTGCGTTGACTCACTAGAGGTGCATATAGAGAAATGAGTGAGACGTTGTTCAAATAGCAATGCACTTTTCGTAATTGTGATCAACAATCAAATTTTTTAGCAATCAAGGTAAAAAATTACAATATTCCCATTCAAAATTGGAGGACTCTTGAGAGAGCTAACTAGAATTTAGAACATTTTGTGAGTTTGAGTTTCGACTATCATCAGAGAAAGTAATTGTGTACGGAGCTAGGAAAATGGTTAGCTTGTCAACCTCTACATAATTTTCAATCAAAAAGGCATGAAGATGTTGTTTCAGTGAACGATCATAAAACTCTTTGATATGAATATTTAAATTTGCTTGAAAATTCTAACACAAGAGGAAAACAAATTAGCTTCTGGCATAAACTCAATTTTCCCAAAAGCACCGTTTAGCACCATCACACATTATACCTATGTCGAATTATTCACAAAATTCTATCACAGTTTACCGTGTTGCTAGTAAATCAATAGTTTCATATTGCTTCAGCAGACACTCAAAACTTGTGCGTAACTCCACTACGGCACCTCCGAGCAGGCGGAAAGTTACGCACCGCTTCTTGTACATACGTAGCTTCCCGCGCAAATGTTTTGATAATAGCACCGCTAGAGCTCTGTCTTCATAGAGGCGCTTACGCAACACGTTTACTTATTCACTACGTGTACTTAGCGATGTTTTGATAATCCGGCACCTGATCGCAATTTTTTCGTTAATTTTTTTTCTTTGTGGCGCAGTTATTATCATTATCGTGGCCCCGGTTTCCGTCATGTTTGTGGCGCTGTTGCCGTCATGTTTGTGGCGCTGTTGCCGTCATGTTTGTGGCACCAGCTGTCGTTTGTAGCACCGTTGCCGAAATGTTTGTATCGCCGTTGCCGTCATGTTTGTTACGCCGGTTGTCGTTTGTGACGTAATTTTCATTACTGCCGGTTATAACACCAGACTTTCTCCAGTCGTTACAATCCGTACGAGTGCTTTTCGTTTGTCTCCGTTCACCCAAGACGTCTTCACCGCGTCCGCCACTCCTCCGTCTCCGTTCACCCAAGTTTTCTTCACCACGGCTGCTATTAAACTGTCGCCGTTCACCCAAGACATTTTCCTCACGACCGCTATTCCCCCGTCTCCATTCACCCAAGCCGTCTTCACCACGGCCCCCAGTGCCCCGTCTCCATTCACCCAAGCCGTCTTCCCCACGGCCGCCACTCCTCTGTCGCCATCCACCCAAGCCGTCTTCACCACGGCCGCCAGTCCCCCGTATCCATTCACCCAAGCCGTCTACACCACAGACGCCAGTCCCCCGTCTCCGTTCACCCAAGCCGTTTTCCTCATGGTCGCCACTCCTTTGTCGCCATTCACCCGAGACGTCATCCCCACGGCTGCTATTCCACGATCTCCGTTCACCCAAGCCGTCTTCCCCACGGCCGCCGCTCCTCTGTCGCCATTTAGCCAAGCCGTCTTCACCACGGCCGCCAGTCCCCCGTCTCCGTTCACCCAAGCCGTTTTCCCCACGGTCGCCCCTCCTCTGTCGCCATTTACCCGAGACGTCTTCCCCACGGTCGCCACTCCCCCGCCTCCATTCACACAAGACGTCTTCCCCATGGCTGGAGTAGTAGCTGTGAGGGACAGTCCCTCCTGCATTAGGCTGGCCCCACTGCACTGCCGGATCAGGCTCCACATTCCCCCGTCGAGCCTTGTGCACCGGTGGTCTGGCCTGCGTCAGGGGTGACAGCGGCAAAACAAATATGAAATTACGTTATAGAAATAAACGAGAAGAAAATATACTCGGGTGGGTTTGCAAGTTTCTGAATTATTTAATTAAGCAATAACTGCAGCAAATGAAGTTAGGGCTCCACCAAACTCCAAATATAAATATAACCACCAAACCTCAGTGGTGGTTATACTTCCAGGTATGTGGGTTTAGCTAGTTGTTGCTGAATTAGTTATCTAACCAATGACTCAACTGTCAGCAGAACTTACCAGGGTTTCTAACTTCTCAATGCGTTAAAAACAACGAGTCATGAATTTCATGAGTGGCAATGGTTATATGAGCGAGTGGCCACGGCCGCAAATAAGTATAGTAAAGAACACTACTATTCTGGGTGGGGAGGGCCTATCGTACCTCCTGAGGCTGAAGAGGGCCTACCCTACCTCCTGAGGCTGGGGAGGACCTACCATACCACTTCTGGGTGGGGAGGGCCTACCTACCTCCTCCGGGTGGGAAGGACCTACCATACCTCCTCCGGATGGGGAGGATCTACCTACCTCCTCCGGGTGGGGAGGACCTACCATACCTCCTCCGGATGGGGAGGACCTACCCTACCTCCTCCGGGTGGGGAGGGCCTACCATACCACCTCCAGGTGGGGAGACTACCCTACCTCCTGAGGCTGGGGAGGGCCTACCCTACCTCCTCCGGGTTGAGAGGACCTACCATACCACCTCCGGGTGGGGAGAGACTACCCTACCTCCTGAGGCTGGGGAGGGCCTACCTTACCTCCTTCGGGTGGGGAGGACCTACCATACCACCTCCGGATGGGGAGAGACTATCCTACCTCTTCCGGGTGGGGAGGTTCGGTGGAGAGGTTGACGAAGGCAGACCAGCGGAGTCTGTAGCAGCGGTGGGCGGACGCTGGGCCCGCTAGTGTCAAGCCCCCGGCGAAGGCTTCGTCGAAAGCCACGTCGTAAAGGAAGTCGGAGGGCTGGGGTGCTGGCTGCAGGCCTGCTAACAATTAAAATTATACAGTAATACAATGTAGTTAATTACATCATCAGTATTTTTTCATGCAGACTTGATCACGGGTCTACAATCATATTCCAAATACAACTGAAGTGGAAGGCGCCAAATTAGTGACCGTGAGCCTGTCAATAATCACGTCAAGCATGGATAAAACCAATACAAAGGTGAATAACGTGAATATTATTCACCAATGCATCACTGCGCCATGCATGAATAATGTGAATATAATCCATTTATTTATAACCGCGTTATGGATCAACGAATTATCAACAGGACAGATGAAAGTGATGTTAATTTGAGTTATTTCCAAACTTGATTCAGTGGAACGATGAGTGAGGAGGAAACGTTTCCTCATGTGCTGTGAATCTTGTGCTCCCAAACGTCGCACAGGCAAGCAGGTTCTAGATTAAATATTTGACTAAGAAAAAATATTTTAGTAATAATAAACGCATGCGAAGAATTTGATCCTAAAAAACTTCATAAAGTTTCGTGTAACAACACTACGAATTTCAAATCATAATATTAATAACTGGAGAATCTCTAAGACTTGTTCATCTTATCCTCTAGCACAACGACCTATGACGGTGCCGCGTGCCCCTAGAGGGACCACGTGACCGTCCCTGACGTGGATGACGCGGTCCCACACTTTGGTCTCCACGGGACCGTTTACAGGGGCGCTGCCTTGCAGGGGGTTCGGCTGGGGACATGAGAGAGAAGAGCGGAAGTGATAAATGGAATCTGCATGATTGATCCTAATCAACAATTAATCATATTTTATATTCTAGTATACCAAATCACATCGGCAACATCGTTCTTTATTCCAGTTATAGCTGGTATTCGCACAACTATTTGTAGTTTTCTTGCAGTAAAACACGTCTATTAAGGGGGGGGGGTATACCCACATTTACAAACTGATCTTTCTTAAACTTCACACATATATGTAAAACCAAAAAACTAAGACATTCTGTTCGCATGATTTTTTGGGAAAAATTTATAGAAAACGTGAAATTCAAAGAAAACGGACAAAAAAGGATGTAGTGTAGAAATCTATCTCCTCCTAGGGTTTTCAAGCTACAACATTGAGACGCATATCATTCGATTCGTAAAGACCATACCAATCGAGTAACGAAGCCCGATTTTTGATTTTTGCCTTAGTTTTTTTATACGCATTTTCCCGTTTTTTCTTAATTTCTTCTAATTTTCTTCAAATTTTCCCCCCTCTCCCCCATTTTGAATCCAAACTATGCACAAATCTAAAAAAAAGGCTTCGTTACTCGATAGGTATGGTCTTTACGAATCGAATGGTATATGTCTTATCGCTGTAGCTTCAAAACTCTAGGAGGCGATAGGTTTTCCGTGACAAAAAGTGTGAATGTTGAGGAGACCTCGACAATGTCCCGGGCGCACTGCAATAGGCGCTCAATGTAGCATAGATACCAAATTAAAAGTTTCTGGAGCTTGATTCCACTCAAGGATGGTGGGAGCGACTACATGTACACCTCTCCGTACAAAGCCCGGAGGCACACTGAGCCTCACCTCACGAAAACACTGTATTGGTAGTGCTGGGGCAGCGAATTAGCTCCTATGTAATTACTGAAAGAACTCCCACCCCGTCCCCATTTCATTAAGTGTCGTGTACGTAAAAATCAACGTACAGAGATGGTAATGGTACCGTTGGATATGTCAGAAGGTTAGCTTTATGATGAGATTAAACACGTAACTGCAGCACAACTCAAGTAGACACTATATTTAAAGATATCAGCAGCTAATTAGTTCCTATCTAATTACTTAAAGAACTCCCACCCGCCCCCCTTTCATGAAATGTTATGAAATTATAAATCAACGTACAGAGATGGCAGTGGTACCGTTGGATAGGGCAGAATGTCAGCTTTAAGATGAGACTAAAAACCGAAAATGCCAAATCCAAAAATTTTAGGGTATACCCCTTCTGTTAATCACCTTGAACAGCATTTGGGCCTTAACCCGCATCTCGACAGGTTGTGAATGCTGTAGTTTGTTGAAGTTGTCAACCTCGTGCAGGAGTTCAGCCACAGCCTCGGGCGCCAGCAACTCGGAACCCAACGACCGCCTCACGCTGCGTGCGCCTTCAGACTCCATCAGGAAGTCCAAGAGTAAGTCGCATTCATCCTCTGATGAATCGCATTCATCCTCTGATGAATCTCCTTCATCTTCTGATGAGTCACCTTCATCCTCTGATGAGTCGCCGTCATCCTCTCTGAAAAACGTTTACAGTCAGCCTCTTTGAAAAGCATTTGCAGTCAACCTCTCTGAAAAGCATTTGCAGTCAGCCTCTCTGAAAAGCATTTGCAGTCAGCCTCTCTGAAAAGCATTTGCAGTCAGCCTCTCTTAGAAGCATTTGCAGTCAGCCTGCAAATGTTGTACATAAATTTTCAATATACAAGTGACTTACCTCAATTTGTGAGACATTAGGAAGTAGTACTATTTATTCTCTAGTGATAGGTAATGAAGTCAAATTTAAATCACTCTCTTTTTAAGTCGCCCTCCATAGAAATTTTACAACATAATACTTCTTCATCACTCCCGAATCGTAGATTTCTCATTTTCTTTGGAAGCTGGCTCTGAGCATGTTACAAGAGTCGTACCGTTCATGCGATAACTTCTTTGACGCTCATAAATCAGCTCACGTGAAGTGGCATAGTCCTCGTCTACCCTCTTCCTTGGGGTAGAGGGACATCCTCCTAACCCCTTTATCCTCCTGGCTGGTTGGTGTTAAAGAACTAGCACGTTTAAATTGCAGCCTTCCATTATTATTTCGTGTGCGAGAACACTGGCGACAACATGCGTTTCTCTCACAAGAAATCGAAAAACCTGTGCCTTTCATCACCACGAATCAATGAAGGTCTCCAGTTGAACAGATGGCAAGATTTATTACAGTCGTTACTTATCATGAATATAACGAGATTTGAATCTCATCAGTCTGAGGTCTCTAAAATAGAAGGTAAAAATACCTTTATTTGTTTTAGTAATCTTTATTAATGCCAATGGTGAATGCCAATGATTGCGATGAAGTACTGCCCGTGTTTATATATTACTTCAATGCTATATTGATGTTGTTTGCTCCGCAGAAAACAACGAAATCTCCTGAAGGTTCTACAAGCATCGACTTCAGGCGAGAATGTCGTCAACAATACAACTCCAACAGTGAATTGTACAAGCAATGAAGACGATTTGAGTGATTGAGTGAGAGAAAAGTTACAGGAGCTGAGCGTGCAGAACGCTGAGCCACCTAATAGCGGTGAAGAGTCGAGCGTGCAGAACGCTGAACCACCTAATAGCAGTGAAGAGTCGGGCGTGCAAAATGATGAGTCACCTAATAGCGGTGAAGAGTCGAGCGTGCAAAACGCTGAACCACCTAATAGCAGTGAAGAGTCGGGCGTNGTGTATATTCAGTGTCTTAACATGTTGCTGAATTTTTGTCAGAAATAGTTGTACCACAATATAGAATAATGTTCATAAATGTGTTATTGCTGATTATTGCGAGTATGTATGATGCATAAAGCCAGTAGTATATCATTCTCTAAGCGGCGTTTCTGCCAATCCATCTTTTTTGCAAAGGTTATGTAAATGTGTAAAAAAGTATAATAAACGTTTAATTGTGCGGACAGAATTCTTTAGTTATCCCCGAAAGAAAATTAAGTAAGCCTGAAGAGAGCAGGTATAGGGCAGCGTATGGGGCGTGTCGGCTGTAAGTGAGCCGGAGCCCGGCAGGACTGATTCGTTGCAGCCCAGCGCCAGCGCCCAAATAAGGCCTTACGCAGAACGTTTTGAACACCTTAATAAGCGGACATCCTTGCTAGTTTCCTGCTTCCCTGATGCTTCTATCGTGCTCTTGGTTCAGCGCCGGCCCAGCTCCTACACTGCTTCTAATTTTGACTGGGCAGCATCGGAAGCTAACTGGCTCTCTTTGCCTAGGATTGGGTTGAGAGGCACATGAATGTACTTTGTACGTTCATGTGCAAGCTTTTTTGAGCAACATGGAATGACGCACAAGCCAAGCTGCTCGTCGGCGATGAGAGTTGCACCTGTCAACCACTTATTTGCTAAAGATTTAACATACTGTAGTCTTTTCGCGCGCCATCAAAATAGCGCTGATCTGACTTAAAAGAGAAGAAAGATTGACAAAAGGGCTGCAGATAATGACAAGCGGGCAATAAGCGATTATTTGAATCGTTGTCTATATAAATTAGACACCCTTGAGGACAAACCCATGTCGGAAATTAGTCCAGGAAAAATAAGGTTTGACCCGGAACAAATTGCAAAAGAAATGATTTTTTCACCAATGCTCCAGAAGGGCATTAGAAACAACATACTAAAAATCCTCTAAAATGCAAGTAGTGGAAGGGTGTCAACTTTAAGATTAAAAAGAATGGCCGCCGAATGGCAATAAAAGCCCAATAACACATTTTAAAAATGTGACCGACAGTTATTTTTGTGACTGTATGTATGTCTTCATGTAGGGGGTATTCACTAATAATAACTAAAATTCATTCAAGGGAGTAGCAATCTAGTATTTGCAAAAAACAGCCACCCATAAAGTGAAAAATTGTTATTATATAGGCATGTGGAATAATGCCTATGATATATACAGGCATGCACCTGGAGTGTGTGTGAGTGTGTGTGATGCAGGGTGAGTGTGTGTCTATATCATAAATGGTGTGTTAATTGTAGTAAGTGGGTAGCATTGTCTAGACCCTCTGGTGTAAGATTTTAGAACATGACCAGCAAGAGAGGGTGGCCCAGTGGTTAAAGTTAAGAGTACCCAGATTGGCGCAGAGAGGCGCGGGTTCGATCCCAGCTCTCTGCGCCAGTTTCTGGACAGAATCGGCGAGGAGGCCAGGCGGTTAGGCACAGCAGAATTGTAGCAATGAGTTGCGAGTTCGAGACCGCAAAATGCTGTGTACGTTCTGCGATGTTAAGAATCGGCGACAGGCCTACGGCCTAATAAACGCTGAAACCGCTATTATTATTATTATTAAGCGAGCAGCCCCCTGATCAGACTTCAAGACAGGACACACCATATAGAGGTATTTTGTGATTATTACATGCTTATAGTCACTGTTACAGAATGTCTAGCTTGTACATAAGCTCGGTAGAGGGTGATCACATCATGTCTTACAGGTAGCACCAAGATGGATGATGCCCAATGTGCCCTTTGCAGCAGGCCTGTCCCAGAAGGTGAAGAATGCGCAACACTAACACCCAAGGGTTCTGAAGGTATCCAGAAAGCCAGTGAAAGAAGAAAAGTACTAACAACAGTAATGCCTGGACAAAAAGTACACACACAATGTCGTGAGGACCATTGTAGGTCATTCAGTATTAAAGCCCAGAACAGATAGAGCAAATGAGTCTTCTGAAGACTGAGCACGCCAACTGAGATCTACTGGAACCGGCTTTGATTGTGAGATCTACTGGATATGGTGCTATCGATAGATACAGTTACTTTTGTAACAGGCGGAGTTACATAAGTAACTGTATCTATTTCGGGACAGGGGACAGATATGGTTGTAAGAAGAAAAACTTAGTGCTGACACCTTTCAGGGAATACAGTGTTCAAAACTCAATCCTGGGGTCTAAGAGAGAAGATGAGTAGGGTCTGAAGGTGAAATCCAGGGTACAGTTTGTGGCTGGAGAGATTGCACTAGTCTTTCTGTACGAGGGTGTTACCGGAGAGTCTCTGGACAAACTACGATTCAATAACTTTCACAAAAAAGTTGTTGTTAGCAAAGCATTTGTAGGCCTCCAGGAGCTTCCATCTACATCAGCAGCTGGCCAGTTTCATAGTCTGCATGAGGACATTTTGCCAATCAAGTGCAAGAGTGGCTGAGCAACAGAATGAAACCTGATGAGTGGGGATGGGAAGTGAGAAATGGACAATGCATGCCTGTTCTCACAGATAGAGAAGTTGCCCACCTGAGCCACTAGAAATGGCGAGATGCAATTGTTCAACAAGGTGTGCCAGTCTGAAACAGGATACGGAATGTTCACCAGAATGTGGTCAGTGCCATGGTGTGTGTAATAATACAAGTCAAGTATTTGACAGTGATTCTAACTCTTCCGATGAGTGATCTCAAGACAGTAATGGTGGTGGTATGAGTGCTAATATGATCCATAGGAGTGTTTGGCAACATGTAGCCAATGCTGATACTCCTGATGGTGACATCATTCTATTTTGATATATTGTATAGAATAATCACAGTTGGGTAACATGGGGCAGCGCCCCCCCCCTTTTTAAACTAAATTTTTGATGAAGTTTTGATTGATACGAGGTGTTCTTGGTTATGTTTGAAGGTACAACTAATGATGAATGTAAGATGTGAATTAGACGCCTATAGAGTTATTCAATTTTTAATGAAACACTATTTTATAAAAAGAGTCAAAATGGGCCCATTACCCTACCCCTGGGGAAATGGGCCCACAGGCTTTGGACAAGGCGCCCACCCTTGGTCCTTTTACCACAATTGCATATTTTTCGTTTAAAAATGATAAAACACACTTTACAGTTAAAAATAAGAAAAATGCAATGAAAAATATGACATTTATTCATTTATTAACAACTAAAAAAATCATATCCTTAACTTGAAAAAATATACTATTGGCTTAAAAAATCTACACTGACGTGAAGAAAAATATTTCATTGACATAAAAATGTATATATCCTTGACTGGAAAAATATATCCTTGCGATAAAGAAATTCATCCTTGACATGAAAAAATCTATCCTTGACTAGAAAAAAATATATTTAGTTGATCAGAAAAAACTTCGTTCCAGCTTCGTCCATAATCCAGATATTATGTGCAGAGAATTCGTATTTAATCGTGATTTCAGCCAACACCATAAAAACTCATCAACTTTTGACTCATTGGTGTTGACTGAAATCAACTTTTGGCAAGGCAAGAGTCAAAAACTCGATAAGGGGACATAAATACGCATAACTATATAAACTAGAACCTGTTGCCGAGAGGCAGCAAATAAAACAAATCATGCAATATGAAGTGAAATATGTAATTCAAAAAGCTAGTCATAGCTTTGAAAAGGTCGTTCAGACAAATCTAATGTATAACATAAGACTTCACCATGCATGGGCGCTTTGCCCATTGACACGCATGGGCCCGTTGCCCCACTAGGTATCATTTCAATTTATATAGTTTCAACATTTTATATTATAAGCTAATAGTTTAAACTTGAACTTAAATA